CACACACACACACACAAACAAACCAACCAACCAACCAACTAACCACACACACACACACACACACACACGCATATAACGAAAATCTATATATAACATCCTAGGAACACATCAATTAATGCATTTTTTAAACGTTTTTATAAATTAAAATAATAGGTAAATCATATTTGCCTCACCTCATCCATTGTCAGATTTCTGTAGTTGAAATTGCTTGTGCATCGCTGGAAGCAGATTTCCGTCATGCGATTGTAAACGAGGAGGAAGTCCCGCAACTAAATCACAAAAACAGCACAATAAAATCATGATTTTATCAAATATTTGTCATATTCATATATGCATGAAAAGGATTGCACGCGCTAGCTGTAATACGTACATTTCGTAGCTGTCCGGCGGGGTCCATGGCAATATTGTTGGCAATATATATCAAGACAAACGTTTATATAACTGCAAATAAGTTACAATTGAAAAAGATGAAAATAAGGAATGATATCCAAGAGTTATCGCATGACTTTCAACAGCGCGCAGCCATGTTTACAATCACGTGACTACAGGAGCAAACGTCATGATTGGTTGCTGCGGAAATGTGCAGAAAGTCCTCTCCTCGCTACTGTCTGCCGTGTTGCATTTTTCCTGTCTGTCGTCTCTGTGCGTGAATGAAGACTTTTTACTTTCTTTTTTTTCTTTTATTTTTATTAACAAAAGTGGTTAAGGAGTGTAAAAAAAGCTTTTGCAGTCTCTCTCACTATTTTTTTTTCATCTGACCCGTTTCTAGCAACGCTAAGTGAGAATTTTTTATGGTAGGCCTAAATATTTGGTCAATTTTGTGGTCATTTTTTGTATCTTTAGACATTCTTCAAAGCTTTCAAATAAAGAATTACAGATACAAAAATAGAGTCACCAAGACATTTAATATCAAGACAAAGCCACAGAAATATTACAACAACTCTAAATAATAGCTATTAAACTGTTCTAATTATTCTGTGCATACCTACATCAAATGACTCGAGTCATCAGTCAACCTTATTTGCACAAATATACATTTATAGCCTATATGTTATCCTGAAAATATAGCATAAAAATAAGCAGATAAATATTTGTTAATATATTCTTCTTATAAGTACAACAACAAACAGACCAACCTTCAAATGCAAGAAACAAGAAAGCACATTTAAAGTGGTAAACTCCTTTAGATGTGTCTCGATTGGACACAACATCAGCTGGTCTCCTCTGCATGCTTTAGAACACACAGAACTTATGATTTGGGATAGCGATGAGCTTTAAATGTCACAGCTATTGACAGCACCACCCCACAGTATCCTGTGTTTTTTTCTTTTAATTCGCTAAAGGTATTTTTATTTTTATTTTTGTAACTCTCTAACTGTTAACTGTCCTGTTTTAGACTTTGTCTTGATCTACCGAGGGAGTGATCAAAGCCTTCAAGCACTTTTCTGTGCATCTCAAACTCTCTCTCTCCATTATCATCTCTTTCTCTTTCTCTTTCCATTTCCATTTCTCTTTCTCTCTCCCTCTCCCTCTCTTCTGTCTCCAGGGCTACTTGATGACTGTTGAGGTAGATGCTGTGACGTGAAACCATGAGGCTGCTGCTCCGGGACGGGAGGGTGACATCAGCCTCGTCATCCTGGTCCATGCAGTTCTGCTGGGATGCAGGCTGAGGATGTGTCTGGGCCTGGTGAGTCTGAGGGTGAGTCTGTGTTTGGTATTTTCTCTTCTTCCTACGCTTTTTATTGGCAGTCAGATCCAGAGAGGCATAGGACACGTCCCCCTGCTGGACCTGTGAGATAATGACAAACCTAAACTGTATTTTCATGATGTAACACGCCCAATGCAATGAAAAAACAAAAACAAAAACAAAAACCATGATGTTACATTAACTTAGTGTACCTTGCCTCAGTTTAGCTTGCAGGTTAAATTGCAACACAACAAAGGCCATCAAAACAATTTCGCAATAAGTTGTGCAATACTGGTATAGCTTTCTTAAAGTCTCAGACTGCAAATCTGCGATATGATATCTTGCACCTCCGATTTTCGTGTTGAAATAGACTAAAGGTGCTTTTAGACCTGTAGATTATTTGCTGTGTTCCGCAACAGGGACCTAAATTATGACAATGTTTCAATTTCTTTTTGGTTCAGTTCACTTTCATATGGCAACATTTCAAAGCATACAAAAATGTGTTTATGCGAGTCGCATGTACGTAAAATTGTCCTCTCATCGGTGCAAATGTTTATGTTCCTTATAGCGTCATCCATCAAGGCTATATCTGTAGCTGTCGTTACACACACACTTTCCAGAATATATAAAATTTCTCAGTTAGAGCAGGAATCAATAGAAAGAAGAACAATTAGACAACGTTTTAAGATGAATAGGTGCTCTTTGGTTTTCAACTGTGATAACGTGCTCACCCAGGAAATCAGATTTTGCTGATTTTATGTAATACATTTCCCATTATTAATTCTTTTACAGCTTGGTTTGTTGTATTGGATTTCTTTGTTACCAAAACCAATCCAGTTTGTTTTCAATTGACCACATTCTGGCGATCTTGGACCGACTGTTATGTTCATATATGCCTAAACAAACCGAACTAGGAAAGAAAATATGCCAGTTTCAGAAACAACTGCTCCAAATGAGCCAGATGGGAAAACAGCATAAACCTCAACACCAAATTTTAAAGTCTGAAATGAATAAAGGATTTTGTCCATTGAAAATTGATTGGATTGTTGTCATTACAATGTGAGTGACATGTTACTGAAGAGAAGATGTTAATGTCCTCCCTTCATGTCGGTGAACACATCATGAGAGATTTTGATTAAAGATTGACCCTTTTCACATTTCCAGGGTCATACATTAAAAAAATAATAGCTGTGTTCTCATTTGCCCCAATAGCAAAATAAAAAAATCAATGACAGCATTTCTTACTTTCCAAAACAGGAAAAAAATATTGTTGGTCAAAAGAGAGAAAGATGTCAAATTTGCTGTCACTCCCTCATCCTTTGTATTGGGAACACTGTATGCCAAGGTAAGAAAACACAAAGTATATGGTTAAAAATGTATATAAAAAAAAAAGAAAAGAAAAGAAATGCAAAAAAATAAAATAAAAACTTTGTTAGATTTACGATGTTAATAACTTTGGAAATGCTTCATCATAGTGTGTGAAAAGGGTCCATGACGAGGGGGCATGAATTAAAAAAATAATAATGATGTGCACGGATTAATAATTTATAATAAACACTGCAATATTCAATTTAAAAAAAAAAAATCTCAATTTTGATATGGTGGTGACTTTAGGTGAACAAAAAAGGCGCAATATCTTGCAGAAGTACTATCAATGCACTTGAATGTTCAGCTAGAGAGCTATTAATGTGGCATAACAATGTAGCTTTTGACATAAATACTGCTGTAGAGTGGTCTGAGAAACGTGACCACAGCTGCGTTCATTAAAAGACCTGCTTCTACACACGTGTCTATTTTCTGAAAAATGCGTAGGCGTGCGTACCTAAAATAGTTATCAAGTGTGCATTCTCACGCAGCCCTTCTCTGTGAACATCTTAAATTGGAACCATTAAGCCATTAAAGTGATTATGAAAAACGTCACACAGTACAGATTGATATATGAAGGTGCACGCTTTCTAATTTTGAGTGCGTTGGAAATACTATACAACGCATGCAACAACCAGCAGATTTTACTTTAAAATATATATAATTTAATAGTTGCTGCATACGAGAAGACAGAGAACCTGAAAATAAAATCCACATATTAAATGTTTCAATTTTGTTCCGAGTTTAATATGCAATTTGTTAATGGTTGGCCATCAAATGACCAACACTAGCCAGCGAACCAACCAATAAGCAAACAAATAAATGGATAAATGGATGAATAAATAAATAAATAAGGGCAGGAATATCGGTTAGGATGGATATTGCATGTTTTTCATAAAATCATTGATTAAGCTGGTAAAAATTCCATGTTTTTACGGTTAACGGATAAACTCATTGTTTTATATTTCATGTCTAATGTAGATAAGTAGTGTAAATATTAATGTCAAAATTATTTTACATTAATAATGTGCATTGAATGGCTCCAGATGTTAGCAATTTCCATGAAATTTGTTGAAAACATACCTTTAATCCCTGCTTTGCTGTGCCTGCATGTGACATTTGTTCATAGCACACCTCCGGAGACATTTCAAAAGGTCCTGTACAGAATTAACAGGTATTAAATAAATAGCAATGTCATCATAACAGCATAATTATTAGCTCTAGGTAGCAGACACACTGGATTACTGTATTTGTGAGCTAGACCTACCTCCTGCCTCTAAACATATATTTCCATAAATCGGATTTTCCTGTCTTTCCATCTCATCATCCTCAAACCTGACCAAAACATAACCAAATGTGTTTAAATGATTCAAAGGGCTGTTTCTATGGAAAAGGATTATTAAATGTTTTCACCTTTTTGTGAGAATACACATAAAACGTGTGATTCAAACAATATGCTGATAATTACCTGTAAGACCGAAGTGAATCTTGACGTAATGGCTCATCTCCATATTCAAACATGTTTTCATTAGCTGATTAAAAAACAAATAGTCTATAACTGTGACCTCAAGCTGTAGATTTGTCATAATCTTTAAAAGTCAAATGTATGAAGCATACCTGCATATTTTTTTCCCTTTCTTCTTAATAAACTGAATGCAACATTTAAGCACACAGATATCAGCAGTGCAATCGATGTCAGACCAATAGTAACATATTGACTTGTGCATTCTAAAGAGAGAATTAACAGGTCATAAGTGGATGAATATTGAATTAGCTTCCCATTACATCTTATCTAATATTTAGAGATATATTTACAATATTTTATAATCATTTCCACATTTCCATACTAGCCATTAATTTTGCCTGACTAAACTGAAACAACAACATCAGGCAATTGGTGCAATCGTCATTTTATAACTCCTTTTTAATTCTTCTTTCAATAAATATTTTAATATTTCAATTTAACATTTTATTTATTTATATAAAAATTGTTGTCAGATAGAATCTCAAGTAGTGTATAAACAGACATCATTAAGAAAAGTTGTTTGAGTTTCCGTAGACGTCATCACACTGAAAGAATTGAAAGAATTTCTACCAATATAATTATTATCATTTATATCATTAATAAACTTCACTAATTGTTTTGTGTAGATTATTTACTGTATCATTCAAAGAAGCTTTAATACTGTATGTCAGGGTTTGATTTCATTCCATCACTTTTCTAAGCCTTAAGAACAAAAAATCACTGAGAACCGTAAAGAAAACATGCAAAAATACAATTATGAAAGAAACCATTAACATGATGAATTACTGACTGAGGCAACAAAACAGCTTTCATTGAAACACAATGCTTTCACAATACCGTCAACAGAAAACATTCACATACAGAAGTGATAAAGTACAGTATGTTTCCTCTTACCTGTCCCCATGATTGAATAGGGTCAAATGTCCAATAAAGCATTGTCTGATAAAACCTTTCACCTGTACGTGAGCATGTTCAGCAAGAAGTGCACCAGTGTAGCTGCTATTTTTATCGTCTTTAGACGTTTTCGGTTACA